TAACGTACGTGATCGTACGTGTTCCAAGAGCATCCGAGAATCAGAGCATCCATGCCCAGAAACGGACAGTACCTGGTTGAAGCTATAAAAAAAGAATGGCAGTGCGTGTCCATCTTTCAAGGCATGTCAAAACTCCCATACTGAACCGGTTCCGTGTGCGCGAAGCCGCAGCGGCAAAGCAATTTGAAGAATGTTTCATCCAATTTGCCTCCTTTTCTCGGCCACCACTTTGAGCCCGCGGGCTGCCGAATATGCCGCGCCTGCCAGGGATTGTGACATGCCTTGATGTCTGCTGCGCTTCCCGGCGCATGTTAACGACCCGTAGGACCGCTTGGGGGGGAGGGGAGGGGCCTCCCCGCGCTAGTCAGGCTCCAACATTATTACGACAACTACGACAACGACAATTACAACGACGACCACTACTGCTACTACCCCTCCACCTACAACAACAACAACAACAACGTTACATGGCGATGGGGCCAACAACAACAACTACTATTACGACTATTTCGTCGACGACGACGACGACTACTACTACTGCTACTACTACTACTACTACTGCTACTTATTACTTGCTAGCTACTAGTTACTACTGTTACTGTCACATGACTTGCCGGACACACACGCACAAGAGCCAAAGGAAGACACAGTTGGGCTCCGAGAGGGTTTGAGCAACGTGCCCGCTTTCTCGCGACATTTACTAAGCGGTTTCAAGATTTGGTCTCCTGAACGTACTTGCTGTATCTATTGTGACAGTGAAGCTCTACAGCGGGAAATTGAACCACAACCGAAAGCCCTGAGAAACTATGAGAGAGAGTTGCCCCCTCAACCTCAAGGATCGCTCCACGCTTGCCTCAGGAATTTTCCACTGGTTGACTCCAGTCAGCAGAATCGACCTTTGTACAAGGCGTGCCACGGGAGCATTTCTTAAACCGCTTGTTGTACGGTGAGAGCATCAACAGATGCAGTGGCATGCCGTCTCAAGCTTGGGTGGCAGAGACTTCGTGTCGCCAGCCTGCTGATACAAATTCGAAGTGGGTTTGCATACTGCGTGTTCCAGCCCATGCTTGCAAGAAGTATTTATTGTCCTGCATGGCCCATAATGCACATGCTCGATATGGGTTGTGCTTGATTTGGGCTCCCTCTGTGAGCCCAGCATGGGAGGATTCACCGCAGGTACTTGTGCGATCATAATTGAATGTGGAAGCTAGGATAAGCGCACATGTATTCTAAGAACCCTCCATGCGCACTTCATCCGCTTAGGATGATCCGCTGCTAAAGTTCAAAGACTATGCAGACTTGAAAGACCACATTCTTGGGCTTGACAAAAAACTACCTGCCACGATTTGCCATGTGCCTTCGGAATTTCAGCAAAATTCTTGCGTGTATGCCATGGGGTGAGCAGCATGATTTCGGCTCGTACTTGCCAGCATGTCCATGTCCGCCTTGAAACGTGAAATTGCTGCAGTCGAGCAGGAGTGGGCATCCGCATGCTTGAACTTGGAGTGCCACAAAATCTCACCGTTCCAGTGCGAGAGAGGCGCTCTCTGCAGAGATCGGGCGGTGCCAAGCCCGGAGTTGTTGAGGAAGCTGTCTGCAAAGCTGCATTTGAACCGATCCAGGCGCTGCGACCTGGAGGCACGGCTCTCCACACACGTCGGAAGCCAAAAGAGCCTTTCCGCCTGTTGTAGTGCGTGCCCGTGTCATTTTGCCTGAAGGTCAGCGCTGAGGTGAGACATGCTGTGCAGCGGGCAACAGGAAGACACAAGAACAAATCCACGGTGCTTTAGCATTGCCGCCGGACGACGACGAACACATAGAAATACTGATGCTAATGCTACTGGTAATACTAAAACTAATTCTAATACTACATTGTATATGACACAGTGCTTACCTTCCAGGAGAGATTGCGGAAAAGCTGTCCTCTGAAAGCCGGCGACAAGCGGATGACTTCAGGACTCGTGATCAAATTCAAAGTGAAACCAAACGCAGGCGTTCGCATGCAGAAGCTTTAAAAGGAGCATGACATAATTTCAGTGCATGCGCAAGCTGGTTGGTAATTCTGCCTGCTCAACTCCGCAAGAGGTTCATGAATTCCTGCTTGCACTGCCTGTCGCAAGTATCCGGCTGCTGGCCTTGGAGAGATCGCTGGGAGCGTTGCGCCAGCGTTGGGAGCCCGAGGCGCGTGCAATGCTAAGTACATTCAGGGATGTCTTGAGGATCTTCAGCTGCAACGATTTTGCCAATGAGTGCTTGAACGTTCTGGTGTTTGCTCAGCATTTCTGGAGTGCAGGTGGACCGAAAGCCTGGCAAAAGCCGCATAGTTGGGTTACCTCTCGTTAGCGGTGCGCACGTGATTCTGGCAGGCAAGCAGAGCCGAAGGTGCGAGCTCAAGTACGGGCCACTTGGCCAGCATTGTTTGAGCCGCTCCGATGCTGATGCCCAAGCCAGCTCAAGCCAGGTGCTGGAAGTGATCGCCAAATAGCCTGGCTGGAAACAAGGATTGCCTTGTGAGGGCCTCAATTAGACTTGACCATTTCATTCCTACATTCTTGGAGTAGGAGAACCGCATTGGCAAGTTGAAGATGAGATATGGTATCACATTTTTTTTAATGGCTTTCTTGGTGGCCTGATGATGTTACCGTCATGATTGGCATTTGCTGAGCACAGGCTCGAACAGCCAAAATCGCAGGACATGCTCTCAGTGGAGGCACCACCGCTTTGCATTTTTACTTGCCTTTGTAGAGAGTGTCTGATTGCGGCGCACTGCTCTTCGATCCGCTTCTGCTTTATTGGCCCTCAAAGTTTGCCATTCTAGACAGCGTGAGGGACCTGCAAGGTCAATGGGTAAAGAGGCTTGAAGGCATGTAAGTCGCCCATCGCTTCAGTGTGCTGATCTGCTTGTGCAGCAAAGGTGGCCAGGCAGCTCATCTGCAAATTGCTGATGTCAAGGAGCACAAAAAGGAGATGGCTTTACACAGAGCTTGGCCAAGGCAGCTTCAGCTTCTGCGAAGGCCTTGAAACCTCAAACTTCCACCCACTGCGTCGCTTTCTGCGTTTCAGGCAGCTCCTCGATGAGGCAACGAAAAGGCCCTGGCTATTCCCTAAACCTTTTGGGACTTGCAGGAACTGGATGTACTGGAAAGTAGGTACAGCTGCAGGAGCAGGTAGCATGCGCCTCAAGCGATTTCTCTGCCAGTCTCATGTCAGGGTTGCTCTGCAACCCCTTGCTTCGTTCCTTAAATAGCGAGTTCGTAGCACAGGGCGCCAGGGTCGTTTGCAGCGCGAAAGACTCGTGAAAGCGCGCAGAAAGGTCTTGATACATGGCTTGTCTTGAATTGCTGAATGATGTTCCTTGTGAATGCTTGTGAATGAACAATTCAGAACTTGAGTGTATGTGCGAAAGACCGCGAAAGCTTAGCGAAAGGCGTGGGGGTTGATGGGCTGTTGGGAAAAGGGATGTAGCACAGCCCCCATGTGGCAACTCGCGCGCTTCGACGTTCAAAATTTTAGGGCAGGGCAGGGCGGGGCGAATGAAGAGCTGTAGAAACATAAGAAGTCGCTGTCCTGTCCGCGCCTTTCGGGTTGAAGCTGTTTGCAAAGTCAAAGCACCCGAGCCGTTTCGTTTTGTTTGAGAGGCTCGGACGAGGTTGAATTGCATTGTGTTGTCATAGATGAGCCTTTGAGGTCCGCAAAGTGGTTGCATAGTCCAACCTGCAAAAGTAAGGCAATGGGAATCAGACCTAGAATGTTCTTAAGTGGTAAGATTTCGTAAGGCTCCCACTGCCGAAGAGGAATGCAAGAGGCCTGCATCCCAACTCTTCATTCTTGGACCTGGGACCGTGCGCTTCATAAAGCAGCGTCGTAGTCTCCACTCTCCTCAAGAAAGCAGCGAAGGAAACCTTGAACGGGGAAGTGCTAAGTTGCTGGAGCTGTTGTATGACGCTTCATTGCCGGTGGAAGCGGCCTCTGAACTGCTTCACTCCGTACTCCGATGCTCCGCTCCGTGCTCCAAGCCACTGCGCCTTGGCCACAGCGCAGCTCCGCTCTGTTGCCGGCGCGTCCGGCGCGTCCGGCGCGTCCGCGCCGCAGCATGAGCCGTTTTCGGATGTTCATCCCGCCCGGCATGTGAAGTTTGTTGTACCTTGGATCTTGTATGATCTTGTCATCAACTTGCCAGCAAAAGTTTAGCTACCGTTTCCTGGCGCGAGGAGGTTGCGTGTATCAAAAGAGTCCGAAGCATTTGGACGCAGACTCTGATGGTCTGCTTCGAAAATGCTGGGTTTCTGAAGGATGTGCATTGTGCATATCAACACAGACTCGCAAGGTGGGCCGACGTTTCGCAGCCACTACAACTTGAAGCAGGCTTTACAGCCACACGCACTGCACCATGTAGCACACAAAATTGATGAGACTCGTTCTTTGCGTGCCAGCTGATAGTCGGCAGCGCGTCGATGCTTTGGAGTCCGTGGCTTGGATTCTCTGAATGAGCTTGTTGAGGGAAGCCGCTGTAAGCACAAGGCAGTGGCTGAGAGAGGCTGAGCAGGGCACAGCAGCAAGTGGCACGAGTGGCACGATTTGCAGTGCACGAAATGCCTCTGTGCCGTGCCCGAAGGCTTTGGCACCGGAGCTGGTGCGGTTGCAGCTAGACGCTTTGGCTGCAACAGTGTCCAGCCATAGAGACCATTGGCAGCAAACGCGGGCGTTGTTGCGAACTAACTCTTGCAGGGTCCATCCACCACCTGCGCTTCTCGATGCAGTTCCAGTACTTCACAAACCCCTTTGCACTCCTTTTCAGCACATGAGCGGTGAGCATTTTGTGACACATGGCTAGGATGCCCAAATGGATTTGCAGATTCGGTCAGGCTCCTTGATCCCCTTTTACGGGATCCGGACCTCGGCTTCAACTATTGCTGAACGTGGTCAGGTCGAATCATAGGGGCCGAGCGGAGCAAATGAGGCTCAGCAATGCCACGTAACTCCCTGCCCCGTGGCGGCCCATGTTGACCTCGCCACTTCGAATCAGTTTCCTGAGATACGACAGGAGTACATCAGCAACACAGGCTCACCGACCTGTGAATAGGCAAAGTGACTCTAACGACATCTGCAGTACTGCCTATGCCGCATTAAGGCTACTCGCAAGTCAGGACCTGGCCTCTGAACGTCGTTGCCGGGAACGACTGGAGACGTCTGCCACTCGCATGCACTCTCTAAAAGGCATTTTGTTCATGCTGCTCTATGCCAACTGCCAGGTGAACAAACACATGGCTCTGTCAAAAGCGTTGGAAAGGACGAGAGCCGTCTCAATCACTCCAAGAAGCGCGCAACAAACTTCTACTGCAGCGCCAGCGCAGGCTGCACAAGCATCACAGACGGCAATGGTGCAGTGTCCTCCAGAAGTGCCACCTGCATTTGCACCTGCGAAACTTCCACCTCCATCCCTTGCAGCGCAAACTCCAACAGCTTTTGAAGCAGCCGCACCTGTGGAGTTGCCGGAGAAAGCCGATACTGTCCCAAAATCTGTCGCTCGGCCAAGTGGTGGGGAGCTGTCATGCGATGTAAGGGGCTAGGAAATGGAAATGACATGCTGACATTGCATGCTCGCGTGCTCGCAGAGTTTCAGGCTGATCAGCCTGAGCTCATGTTGACGTCCCTGCCTGCCCAGCCGAGCACACAAGCCGATGCTGTACCTTCCTGAAAGTTCGTATTTGTCACGCTGACATCCTGGTTAAAACTATAACAGAGTCCAGCCTGTGCCTCAGGTAGAAAGCCTGGCTCCAGCACTTCCAGCCAGTGCTGCTGCTACACTTGCAGATGACATGATGGAGAGTCTAGAGCGGCAAGATCCTGCGCCAAATGGTTCCGTTCATGCCTTAGTCACCTTAGTCAAATGTGGCCTCGAGATAGCTAGTAGCGTGGACGTGATTTTTTACCAGCTACAGTGTTCAGAGTCCATTCTCAGGCCACGCCACGACAGTCAAGGGCTCTTCTTGGTCGCATGCGACGATCTTTGCGGGGATAGATTTGAGAGGCACTAAGCCAAGAAGCTCAATGGTCAGTCATGTCTCATTTCCGTCGCCCCTTTGAATGGAGTCCATGTGCTGCTGAGGCCTCGCCGCATCCTCGCTGTCATGAACCCGCACATGCGCAGGATGCCGGATTCCGTTGGAGCTGCTGCATGCACGCACCCATCGTTATGCTACACGCAAAAGCTCGTTCCTTTCTGATGTTGCACCATGTTGCCAGACGGTGTGACGGTGTGACGGTGGCCGCGGTTTGAAAGTGAATGCAGGCGAGCTGGAGCCACAGCGGCTGCAAGGCGAGGCCAAGCTTTTTCCTCAGCTCTTCGCGTAGATTTTTCTGACGGTTTAGAAGACGTGTCTGAACAGCTCGGCGTCTTGGCTCAGCACAGCATACGGCAGCGTTGCCCACAGCAGGCCGCAGCAAGCCTTTTTGCGAACCATGGGAATCCCACGGCGGTCAAAAGCGGTGTTAATGCCCATCAGTTTGTTGCGCACTCAGACTTGGATTGCAGATTCGATTTGTTGTAGTCACAACCCACGGCTTCCTGCTCGTTCTACTCTACTCTGCAGGCTCCTTGCATTTGGTGGTGTGGCTTTGTCGTTCACAGGAGCTGCGTTGACACGTGTGACTTCCTGATGCGCGAAGTGGTATTGTATCTATCCACGAAGCCCCGCGAGGAGTTTCGCAGCCTGTTCCACGCAGGGAAGGCATCATGCGCCGGGCTGGGGATGGATTCATCCCTCTCGATGCAGTGGAGCCTGCTGTAACATCTTACGCGACGCGGTTGCCGCGGGGTGTCCTGTCCGTACGGTTCAGTCGCAAGACGGCTTTGGAAAGCATGTGAATCCAAGGTGAACATCTGGACTCCCTTGTTCAAGTCTGCGCAGGAAAGTGGTCTGGCTCCGGAGTTCTTGATTCACTGGGGCCATGCTGGTGCCATGGCCATGGTCCTCTTGGCAATGGGAGGCTATGGCACGTTCTTAGGCTGGGCCACACGTCTTGGCAACGGAGCCACAGTGTACCCGCTGAGTATTGGTAAGACTGCAGCGGAGCTCCATCCAGTGCTCATGGGTGCCGCCCTCTTCTTCTTCTTCCTTGGTGGTCAGGGAGGCCTTGTACTTCTGGCAACTCAGGGACAGCCCATTCTGCAGTCGGCCCACTCTTCCACAGCGGTGATTGGACTGCTGCTCATGTCGGCGCAGGTGCTGCTTTTGCAAAGTTGTTTTGTTGAGGGCCCAGAGGCCCGATTGCGAAACTGACGCATTACGGCAGCGATATGGCCCTTTGTTGTTAAAAGACTCGCATCGTATTTTTGCCCAATAATAACTGCATGAAGCAAGCCTTCGAACCAACAGCAGGCCGTGCATGTATGCAGCACACCTCTGTCTTTGGAACATAGTGCGCCTGACCGAATATGTGGCTCATGCTGCTAAAGTTGCCAAGTCTGCAGTGGTGCTATTCCACCCAACTTTACGGATCCATGACGATATCCTAGCCTCCGCAGCAAGAGGGCGTGAGGCCATTGATTTCTTGTGCAGGCCAATGCACTCAATGCGCATGCTTCCGCGCCCCGTATGCTCAGGCAGTTATTGGTCTGACAATGGGGGACTCCGCAGGCAAGCGAACCGCGCACGCTCTGCTGGGCACTTCGGTCATGGGGGTCTTGCTCGTGCACCTCTACTTTGGCCTCAACCTGGGCTTCAGCATCTAGTGCCAATATGCAAAATCTGGGTCTTCGCTTTTTCGCGGGAAGAGCAACGATCCGATAGTAATTATTCGCACAAGTCATTCCTTATGCGTGCTCTTCCCGTATTTTCTGCCGCGACTGTCATTCAACTCCAGTAGAGTGTGGATGAAAAGCCAAAGTACGGCCTCCTACATAAGTGGGTGCACACAAGGCTGAACAAACCATGGACACGGCTGTAAAGTGTGTCGCCCTGGCCTGGACTTCCGGCGGAAAAAAACTACTGCCGACTGCGTGTGCCCCTACTGCACCCTCGGTCACCGAGCTGGTAGGCTTAGCTGCCCGAAAGTTGTTGCAAAGAGTTCCATCAATTTCCATCAGCTGTATTTAAAGTGAGGAGTTGTGCCATGAGCTGGCCTGTACGTTGGACTGCTCTTGTTTTTGTGTGTCTGCATTTCGACTCAAGCAGAGGGTTTCGCATTTCAGCATGGAGTGCGTTGTAAAGTTGCAAAGCTTGTGGATGCGGATTTTCCTTGCAGCCGGCTAAATCTATTGGGCCGGGAGTGGCCATGAACACGTCCAACCTAACCTTCCGGAGGTCCTATAATTGCACTGGCGAGACCATGTCTGGCTCCTGGACAAAAGGCGGTGATCTTAATGATAGACGCGGAAGCATTGTGCGGCATGAAGATCGGGTGGTGGTTGATGAGGTTCACTTGGCAGCGCTTGTGGAACAGCCACAACAGAGCTGTCGCTTCAAAGTGGACCTGATGTCTGGGCCTAGCGGTGCGATTGAAGCCGAGACCTTGGAGCATGATCGACTGATTGGATTGTGCTGAGTCTGCCGGATTTCCCGCGTCATAACCTGTGTAGGTCTTGCCACATGGAAGTCCTGAGCTTGTCTGATGTCTTCTCTTCCTTGGCTGCCTTTGCACTGAGGGCAGTGAGATGGAGCTGTTCAAGGCTTCGCGGCAAGCTATCTGCTGAGTCCCCAGACTCTTCAGCCCGAAGCTTGATCGTCATCAGGGTGATGCGCCATGCCTCCTGCCACTGAATGACTGATGGGCACACCAGGTGCTGTCGATCAAGGTGCTTTCAGCTTGAACCGGGCCGAAGACTTTCAGCACATGCCTGGAAGTTTGCAGTGTGTCCTCATTTGTCGCATAGAAGCGGAGAACAACGGACACGAAATCACATGGCTTGCTGGCACATGCCTAGGCCTAGACATCCTTCTTTGTGCAGCCTTGCCTTCAATCTGCATCCAGGTGCTATGCGATTGTAACTTGAGAAGTAGCTTTGCCTTCATTGCAAGTCAAGACGTGGGGTACTGGAGGTCACAGGGTACCAGCAGCCTTGACCATTTTTGGCATTTCTTGTCAGGCTTGCTTGTGTTTGTCCCTCAACATGGAGACTGCATGCGACCGCTAGCTGACCGGATTCATGCGCAGGATTGCGCAGGCCTTTACACGACATGATTGAGCGACCACTTGCGCTCTTCTACTTTTTCCGCATTGCCTTTGTTGTGAGTCATGACATGATTCTCGAAGCTGTCAAGGATCCATAAAAGTAGCAGACCTCACGCATGAAAGTCCAGATTCTAAGTTGTTTCTGCTGTGGCTTCCCATGCGAGCCTGGGAGAGATCTCGTTCGCCAGCAAGGCCAGAGCTGCGCTGGGTTTCAGAGCTCCCAACTTGTCACAGATGCACAGCTAGCAGGCCCCACGTGCCCCGGCAAAACCGCGCAAACCTTGACACCAGAAGCATCAGCGCATGCCTCAAGCGTAAGCCCTTTCTTGGAGCTGAATCAAGCTAGATGTTCCCTCATATTTACAGAGGGAAGCCCCTAAGGATGTGAGCCCGAGGAAACGTAATTCAACATGTGTCGGCCTTGTCAGCTCCTCCAGTGTCAACAAAAATGGTGTCTGGAGAAGATGTTTGGTTTACTACAGCGCAGTGGCGCCACGGACTTTGCAATTACGGTGATGGGGGTTGATACCTCCGCTCTGGGAATTGGATTTTGCAATTATGAGGGGAGTTACAAGTACTATGGGAACATTCTCAACGTGCCAGAACATGACGATGCAGGCCAGAGGCAGCTGATGAAGAAAGCCATCTAGATTGCTGCTGGACAACGATATGCAGTGATGAAAGTCAGCAAGAGTTGTGAACTGTCATCAGCATGCTGTGGCAACAGGGCTTCGTGCATTTTCTGCATGAATGACGTTTCACTGACAGAGTGCAAAACCAGTCTCAGGAGGACTCCCATAAACCAGACGTAAAAACTGGTTGGTGTTGACAACTGCGGAAAATCCCAGTACTATGCCTTGTAGGTCAAGTACCACGTGCAAAGCCAATGTGCGCCCTGCGTAGTTACCACACCAGCCGACCCGTTGTGAGGTCCTGGATAACCCAGTTCTCAAGTTGACGTTTGACATGTCCAATGCCTAAAACGGCCAAGTCCGGCCCCGTGAAATGCAGTGGAGTAGTGGCAAGCCAGAAGCCCGAAGCACTTTGACACCTTTCACCTAATATGGCCTATTTTTTTCTTTGCTTTGGGCCCTAGGTTGGAAGGAGCCCTGTGGCAGTGACCAGGGCCGCCTTGATCGATCCGCAGGGCGAGCGCTTCCCCAGTGTGCTTGGCGACATGACCTTTACGAGGCTTTTTTTTGCTAGGGCTCGGTCCTGGATCCAAATGGGATTCACCTGGACTCGAGTCGCAATCTTTGAGTTCATACCCACAGTAAATGACAGTAATACGGACCGGCCTTCTCATTTCCTTGACGTCAGGAATGCGAAGCATTGCAAACCGCAGACTTTCAGTATCTTGCAGTGAAGGGTTGTTGAGAACACATTTTTGGGAGGTGGAGGCACATGAGGGAGCTGCATGGAGCTGCGGAGCTGAGCCGTGGCTGCCGCCTCGCGGCTTGGGATCCGGAAGGGCTGCGCGCCAGCCATGCCAGGCGGCGTTGGTCCGCTAAGATCCGCGCTTCGTTGGAATTCGGATGTAGCATTTGATCCAGGAGGGCTAACCTGGGCGTTCTAGCAGGCTTCTTTTTTTAGAGGAGGTGCTGGCGCTATGTGTCATGGAATTGAAGAGCGACCGGTCTCTCGGTATACACCCTTCATCGCTCGCTGGTGTCATGCTGCTATTTTAGGTAGGCATGCAAAATGCAAAGCACTCCCGCTTTGTCGTGACCCATACCTGTACTGGCTGGCCAGGAAAGAAAAGTTTAAAGGGTGAAAGTGAGAGACCTCTACATCTTCCAACAAGTGTAATGAGTTTGCGGCTGGTCACTTGTGTTTATGGCAGGGCAACAGTCGCAAGAAGCGGCAATGACGCTCATGTCCGTCTTGCTTGCATACACCCTTTGCGGGAGGTATTGTTCAAAGTCACTGTTGTATGACGCCAGTTTCATGTCTTGTGGCCTTGCGTTGGTTGACGACTGAGACGGTTTCTAAGCGGCGTGCAGACCTCCCCCATTTGTTGGCGTGTGGCAAGTGAAATCCCCGGTCCAAGACCTCAACCAAAGAGCCTTAGAAGCCTTCAGGCCGCATCCTGGACTATCAGGGTCACGAACATCGATGCAAGCACGGCTCCTCGAGATCTGGGAGCCCTCTTCTGCAGGGTCGGTCGGGCACGCTGTCAGCATGTTTGAGGTTCTGCAGCTCTAAAGTTGTCGAAGGCATGGTCCATAGTCGCGGCGCGCTTTTCCGGGACAACTGAGGTTGTGTCAGTGGAGCTCTGGGCGGGGACTGCGCTGTTGGGTTTTGAAACGTCGTCTGCTGCGAGGGCAGCTGTGGACAGGTTCCATCGGCACCCGTGGAAAGGTGGAAGGCCGATGAATGTCAGACTCGCATTCGCATGATGAAAAGATAAGTCCCACTGATGATCGCTTGTTGAAGGTTGAAGGGCGTGTTCCGTCACCTTCATGCAAAGCAGTGAGCTTTCCGCATTCTGCCTCATTTCAAGCATCCGTGTCGTGCCCATGTTGTAGCATGTTGTACCCCTGCAGTTGCCTCATCTTCAGCTGCTGGCTGCTGCTGGCGCTAGTAGGTAGTAAAGATGGTGGTGAATCTCACGCACCCCTTTAGAGGCGACATGTGCCTGGAGCAACATCACTTCAATCAACCATTTCGTTGTCTTGGGCTCCACAAAATCTTGTAGATTTCGTTTAGATTTCTCATCATTGCACCTTCTCGGCAGTGTTCGAACAATTTGCCGCCTTAACATAAAACTTCATTGGGGTTAAGGTTGGTGGAAATGGGACCGCCTTTGACCGGCTCAAAGCTTATTCGCCTCATGACTAGATAGACACTTTCCATAGCGTACACGCTGTAGAGGGCAAGCCAAAACAGCTGTCGTCGACAATTGTGACACTGCAGCAAAGCGTGAGCGGCTGTTTCTTGCTGGCATGAGTGCACGCGATGGCCCCGCGGCTTTTGCCGCCAACGCGCGCTCAAAAAAAGTTGGGGCGACAAGAACGCTTTGCAGAGCCGGGGTGTGATTTGAGGCCTCGACGACTTGGAATCAGCGCGCAGGACTGGGAGGACTGGAAGTCAGTCTGATCAGTCGGCTTTGCAGATTTGCGTGAAATGTGCAGGCTCTAAGCCAGGAGGAAAGACTAGCTGCTCGGCACTCAGGCGACATGAGCCATTCTATGAGCTCTGCTTTGATCCGCAGTTTGAGGTAACGCAGACTTTGCGGCAACGTGGGTCAGATGATGCTCTGAAGAAGGCGCGTTACGTGGGCCAGGTGCGTGTCAGCAACTTTTCATTGTCAGGTTCATGGCTTCCTGGACAGAGGGCAAGAAGGTGGCAAGAAAAGGAGTTTAAAGGCATTCTTGGAAACTTCACATGACTTTGAGTGCTCTGCCGCAGAAAGCTCTCAGTGCAGGTTGCTGAGAAGCATTCAACCCGGCAGCGGGAAAGCAGGCTCGGGTATTGAAGGCATCTGTGGCCCGAGGCTGTGGCTCAAGGAGGTAGCGAACAGCACCACTGCCATCCCCTCCCAGGAACTCGACTCGCTAATATTGATGGCTCTCAGAACTTTGCCGAGAGTAATGCATTAGCTGCAGCGTGGTTGTTCAAGCCTGTGAAGACCGTCTTCAAGGGTCCATCTCATAGGACGCGGTGGCCCTTGACCCCATGGCCTTCGCGCAGCTGTGCCGCCGTGCCGTGGACACGGTGCACAGAATCCTCGCTGTTTACAGCAGGGCGCGTCTCATGCACCTCGGCAAGCTCAACCAATGCAGGAGGGGCCTCAATGCCAAATGGGAGCTGGGCGTGATTTACCCAGCCCAGCTGTGGCGCCAGCTAGGACCTGGGCGAACGCCGCAGGACTCTCAAGGATGAATACAAGCTACGCATGGTGCGCTCTGAGCACGTTTGGGTCTCCCTAGTAGATGTGGCTACGCGAGGCGGGTGGAGGTCCGATGTTTGTGTAAGGCGGAATGGTGGCGGGAGCGAGGTCCAGCAGGAGGATAAGTTCCATAGCAAAGCGAGGTTCCGGTCACCCCTTTTTGCAGGATGGCATGTTCGCAGAGTCCTTGAGTGCGAGGTTCCGCAACCTCAGCACTGCATACAAGGACTTGGTACGTCTCACCTTTGGGCTCAAGGCATCGAGCATCGAGCATCGAGCATCGAGCCACTGACTGCGCGGCTAGCCGCGGAGCAGAAAGTGTGGCCAATCCAGCATCACATGCATGCTGCAGCTGATGCAGCTGATGCAGCTGCAGTTACAGCATTTCTTTCGGGGTGTCGTGTCAACCTGCAGGTCCCTCAATGGAGCCAGAGAGCTACCCAAGCGAAGGAAAGCGATTCTCAGGCATGTGGGCATATTAAATAGGAGTGCAGTGTTATTGAGCAGCTGAAGATGTTGCAGGCCACGGGAGTCTGTCGAGGCCGCGTTCGGATGCCAGTGTTGGTTTTGACTACTTCTAAAATGGGTCCCTATTCAGGAGTGGGGCGTCGAGGACACCTCCAAACAAATCGGGGTCTCAGAGTTTTGAATTAAATTCAACAGGATGAGGGTTGCGGAGCTCAGTAGCGGGCTTGAGTCAAATTCAACAGGAGGATGGTTGCGGGCTCAGCTTTAAGCAGTTCAATAGGAGGAGGGTTGCAGAGCTCAATGTCCCTTTTTCAACCGAGTTCTACGGGAGGAGGGCTGCGGGTTCAGCAGCCTTCTCAAAGGGTTGCAAAGCAGCGTGTTCAACTCGGATTCAATAGGGGGGGCTGTGGGCTTAGTGGCTGTTTTGAAAAAAATCCGCTTTTTAAGTCAAATCCAATAGGGAAAGGGCCGGATGCCCCAAGCACCTCCGAAAGTTAGGGATAACACAGCACCCGGAAACATCTTTCTGAATCCATCCAGCTGCTGGACTACCTACCCCGTAGAAAACATGATTGCCTGGCCTCCTTGAACGAGCAGTTTTTGAAAAATCGAGAATCTGAGCTGGCCTGAAACCATAAATCATGAAGGTTGAGACGTGAGGCACACTAGCCAGGTCAAACAAAACCCTAGAGAGCAAACTAGCGAGTTGCCTACCCATGCAACAATATTTTGGCCGTGGACCTTCTCACATATCATCACACGCAAGCTAACTGAAGGGTGTTGCACACTTTTGGCTAACCTTCACAACGAGTTGCTACCATGACGAAGACATCCTGCGCACAACAAGTCTTGGTATACGGACGACCAATTTTGCCTGCATTCATGCATGCTGTTTCTTCAGGTGAAGGCACGACTGGGTCTTTGTAGGAAGCATGGGGTCCTTGGGAGGGTCTCCTTGTTGAAGCTTTGAGTAGTAAAAGTGAGATGCTACTTGGCAGGCTCTCCTATTCTAAGCCTTGAAATGGGGTCTTGGCGGGACACGAACCCATGCTTGTGTTAGTTGGGCTATGGAGGGCCGAAAACATGGTGGGAAGGTGTGGAGCATTTGCTCCACGGTTTCTGGGTTTTGGGGGGCTGAAAGTGCCGAAATCGTTCGAGCAAACATGGGTGCCGACTGGGCTGTAGGCAGGCTGGAAGGAGCATTTGCACCATGGTTTTGCTTTAGAGTATGGCCTCTTAAAATCCTGGACGAGTCGGGAGGAATCATTACGTGGGATGGTTCCTGTAATATTTCGGGCCAGAAGAAGGCATCGATTTGTTCACGCTACAGCACGGCTTTTGTCAGTGTAGGCTTGTTTTTGTTGTGTTGGTTCCAAGAGATCTTGTTGTGGTAGGCTGTATTCTTGTCGCGGCTAGGTTCCAATGGGGCTTGTTGCCGTAACGTCCCGCCTTCGTGAACTTCGCACAATTCCAAACCCCCACGATAATCTGGCTTCGGCATTTATGTCATGTAGCGCAGATGACTCGAGGCATCAGAAGAAGAGCAGACGCACCGAGAGGTGAGACCCCGTGCCAACAGCACCCACATACAGATCGAGGACCGCGCTGCGCACGCTGCGCATTCTCAGCCGCCCAGCAGCCTCAGATAGCCTCAGACTCGCAACCCAGGATGACGAGGAAGACCTTGACGAGGCGGACAGGGAAACATGACGCTGCTTCACGCATGTATTCTTCAATACCTTACTTTCTTGATGGTCAGCAAAGACGTGCAAAGACAAGACTTCAAGACGCACGCTAGGATGTGAGCGGCAACTCGGAAGGCCAAAATGCCCGCAACTTTGCCAACTTTGCCTGTGACTGCTACTTACCTGGTCTGGGCTATCTGGGGCTCAGGAAGGCCTGGTGTCGGAGGATGCTGAGGAGGTAGAAGCCTGCGAGACACGCGACTTTCTGTTTTGAGATGCTTGGCAAATGCCAGGAAAGCGAGGATGAGGTGCAGGAAGCTCCAGAACAAGGATGGGGACTCTCCCGCCGAGCCAAAGTCGTTCTCCCCGAAGTTCTACTGGCGTTGCGGTGGCATTGCGGCATGCCCGTTTGGCACAGGAAATGCTGTGGCAAATGGAGATCAGGAAGTGGAGGAGTCGGAGGCTGAAGAGGCTTTGACGCGTCTTTGCAGACTCTGGAAGTTTCAGATCAAGACGAGCGTGTGGCCAGGAGGAAGACGAGGATGAGGAAGAAGAGGAAGACGTTCGGCAGCAGAGCTTCTTAGACATCGACAGCAGTTTGAAACGTGAATTTGCAAATTGCTTCCAACAGGAAACCAGGGCAAAGTCGGCTCGAAGAAAGCCAAAGGACCCTTTAATTATTTGAGTCCATTGAATGCCATCGCGATCAGACTTGCACTTGGCGTTGCTTCGAATCAAGTTGCGAGGAGCAGCCAGCTGAGATAAAGACCCGCCAAAAGCACAGAAGATGTTCAACTCGAGGTATTCAGGTTTCGTTTTTGTTGTGCAAAGCCGAGGCAAACCTGATGCTAAAGCAGTCTGGGGCGCGGGCGCCGCGCCAGAAGCTTCAGCACGCCTATCAGCAGGCAGGCCACTCTGCCGCTGACAGGGCACGTCAGTTTCAGGAAGTTTGAAGGACAAAGCAAACGAAAAGACTTTGGTTCTTGTTGGTTCTTGTCTTGGTACCAAGGGGAGCTTCAGCTCGCTCCTTTCTGATCTTCAGCAGGTGACGACAGGAAAGGGAGCATGGATCTTCTCTTTACAGGTGCATTGCGGGAGCTGGCGGAGCAAAAGATCAAGCAAGCTCCTCAGACCTCCCGAATGAGGGGCTCCATAAGTAATGGTAGGTTCTTGTTGTACATATACAGCCGGGGTCTTGCACCAAGGTCGCTCAAGGCCATGGAGCCGCAGGCGAGGGGAAGCGCTGAGGTCATTCGATACTTGAAGAGTCCCATTGAGGTCTCATCTGCTTCCTCTTCAAAGTCCAGTCTGCCTCCTGACAAGCTCCGTCTGAGAGCGGACTTTTTTTAATCAAGGGCCCGGCGTTGCTCTCAGAAGAGCTGCATGAACAAGCGCCCAGGTCCTCAAGCTGCTGAGAAGGCCTTGGCCTTGTCTTTATCAGTGGATTCGAGCCAAGGCCTTCATGACTTGTGACCAGGTGCCACCTGCGGGAACTGCCGAGGCTCTGTAGATGATCTGAGCAAGGTCTTGTGCAAATTTCGGGTCGTGCATGTGAGGACTCTTCTTCCTCCTCTGACGAGGGGGATGAGTGAAAATCTCAGAGTCTGGTGCGGTGGAGGTCTGAGCGCGGAGAAGATCTCTCCTGAGCTGCAGGTCTGCGCTCCCTGTAGGTAGCACGCCCATTGTTATGGAGGCGGGATATGAAGTTTAGAGGCTGCAGGCTGAGCCCCTTGAAGTGAAATTGCAGAAAGGCCGGTAGCACGGCTCAGCCAAACCAGGCAGGCTTTGACTCAAGGGGGCTCTCAAAGCTGTGTCGCCGCATCGCAGGCTGCAACATCAGAGTCAGAGCCAGCCCCTCAGCAAGCTCAAATGAAAGTTTCCTTCTTGCGGTATACTTAATAGCTAAGATCCTCATCACTTCCGGACACGACTGCGAAAGGAGATCAAGAGTGTCAAAGATGGATGAACGCTTGAGGGCATGGTGCACACAGGAGCAGCCAAAAGCATGGCAGACAGGCCTGCGGAGGCGGAACCTCTTTCCCTGTGCTCTGTTTGACATACAATCTGCAGTGCAAAGCACTTAGGGTGCCGATAGAGGCCAAGGCAGCCACCCGCAGCAGAAGTCGGAGTAAAGCCAGGAAGAGCAGCGGATCAAGGTTTCTGCCAAAATTGGTCAGAGTTGAACAATGTTGAACATGTTCCCCAGCCCTTCAAGCAGCAGGCGGCGACGCAGAGGCACAGTGCAGAAGTAGCCCAGTGCTTTTCTTGTCGCAAAACCTTTTAGTGAGAGGGAGCTTCGTTCATAACGCATCAGCCTGAATATGTGAGGCTTGGTAGTGGGGGTCCGGGAGGGCGAGGTGGGCCAAATACGGCTTTTTGGGGGGTCTTGCCGAAAGAAACAGGGGCCCGTGGACTGATGCTTGCCGAGACCTTCTGTGCGCCGCCCCTCTGCTTTGAGAACCTTTTGTAGATGGAGTCTGTTCTACTTTCAAAGCCTGGAGATTGGGGTTTCCTGTATCTGTCAGTCCTGTTGTGGTCGCTGCGGTCAGGGGTGCTCAATGACTCGTCACCGCTTGTTCGGGCATGGCACACTATATTAAAGGCTCAGCGGCTCAAAACACGTCATGAGCATCACAAACTTTTGGGAACCACGTGCCCGCACTCTTGTATAGGGACGTGCTAGTCACTGGTCGTGCAGCGCCCCCAGCGCTGAGCTTGGGTTTCAGCCGCCGGCTTTCAAGCTTAGGGTTCTGGTGCAGAATGGCCTTTTTCCATTGTGCACGCAAGATAGGTAAGACGCGAAGGTTGCACAACTTTTCTGGGAAGCACTGGAGACATGAGGAGGCATGTGAGGTCAGGCATTTGCCAAAACGAGGGCTGCGGCGTCATGCGTGCTATGCGGTCGCTTGTAATTTTGGGCCATGTTGTTAGAGCTTGTGCGGTTGAGATGTTTTGAGGCAAGCAGAATGGCACCTTGCATCTGAACATATTCTGTTTTCAGGCTTACAAGAACTACGCGTCATTGCAAGTGCTTACCGCCGGCACATTCAGTAGAACAACGTTGTAGACTCTGGGACTCCGAGTGTTCAGAGACAATTTCCCGTTATGTCAGCACCTGTAACTCATGCTGGGCCCAAATATGTCACATACTTCTGGGCCGTCGCGTTGAGAAAGTGTCACAGAATCACGTCATGCGGCTGGCGTACAACAGGCCAAGTTGCTCGCTTACGCCAATCCCTCTCTTTGAGTACAACATGCGAACCGCAACAGTCAGTTGTGCGTGGCCAGGTCGGGTTGGAAACTATGAACAATCATGATACATACTTTGAATCACCCCTTACAATCATCAGTGCTGCAGAAAATTCTAATTCATGTTCACTTCATAGCAATAGCTGCCCTTCCTGTCGTCCCCGCATGGATACGAGCCTTCAGGCAACCGCAGTAAGGCATATCAAGTTCGCATTACCAGGTGTACTTTCAGTCCCATTCCGCCCTTTGCAGATGCTCCACGCCTGTCATTCTTGCACTGTGGATCGTACTACTCAGTCTCCTAGCCGGCAAGTTGTCTCAAAGAACAGCATGCTCAAGAGTGTGCAAGCCAATGACTTGCCCTTTTTATTGGTTTTTGCTTATCCTTTTCTTACCTTTTCTTGTTGAGCCTTTTAATCTCGGTCAGGCGGGCAAACTTTCATCCCTAGACACGAGACAGTGTTCACACGGGTCAAGCCACACATCTTCCCACGTCTTCCGCATATTGTGAGCTCATACTCCGCTGTACAGTCTACAAAGGAAAACCCAAAACTATGCGATCAAATCGAAAGAATGACCTCCACGTCTTATCAAATTCAAGTCACCGGTCAGATCAGCCCAAAATCTGTAACAAGGAAAGGTTTGACCCTGCATATCCGGGTTCAACATTTAGGGCCAGTTTGTCCGGCCTTCTTCCAAGTGGAGTGGCATGCTATTGTGCGGCCTGCTCCTGAGCGGGCGGATCGACTCGCAGAGGAAAAGCCCCTTTGCTTAGGATGCCCAAAGCTGACGCTGCAGTGGCAAGTTAGCCTTGCCCGTCGGAACCGACTCGGACACCATTTGGCACAGCCACGTAGCACTCTGTCCAACAAATCAGCATCTTCAGACACCACTGGTCATGTCCAGGGCCGCCGTTTGAAGCACCGTCATTTGGTACCGTGGTGCGGAATGTGCGGATAGCGCCGCAGGCTCACATGGCTCGCATTCAAGAGGGAGACGGCGCAGGCGGCGGCACACATCAGGCGAGCGCAGAGCACCTTCCGCCTCATGGTCTGCAGCCGAAGTGCGCCAGTCTGTGAGTCTGTGAGGCTCCTCCAGAGGACGGGCCAGGTCTGCAGGCACTGCAGGCCACGGCTGGACCAAAGCGATTGCCTCAGATTTTGCAGCCAACTTGCAGCGCTTCGCATCAGACACCGAGGCGCCCGGAGCGAGCTTGTCACACATGGTCCAGAGCTATGGCCGCCCGTGGCCACTCGGCCACAGTTGCACAGCTTTGCTCAACTTTGAGGTGAGGCCAGCGAGGCCCACTTGGCCTCCACCTCCCCGGACGGTACTGCAGATGCAAATACGCAAATGGCAAGTTTCAGAAAGGTGAGCAGGATGATGTGGCAAACTTGTGGAAGGCACTTGGAATGCCTCACATGCCTCCAACCTACCGCTCACCACCTGCATGGGTGCGCAGCTCAGCATGTGGCCAAAGCATGCTGCCTGCGGGAATTAGATGTGTGCGGAACATTGTTCCAGGTGCCAGGGCCGCCACCGGCTTGGCGGGTTTCCCAGTGCGAGACGGCACTGCATGCAGCAAAAAGACATGTGAGCACCAAGGCACCACCCTGTGCCCATGGCGGCACCTCCAGTCATGTGGGGTGCACCCCCCGCTCCTTGACATTCCTTGACGATCTTGACGCTTTCCTGGCAAGTGTTCAGCGCATGTTCACGTCTTAGTGAGGTAGTGATGATGCCTCCGCCCAGGACCAGGCTGGCTGTCCCACAAGCCGACATTTTGTCAGAACGTGTCCCCATGCCAGGCCTCCCTGACTACTGGGCATTGATCTGATAAGCGGAATTAAGCGGACAAGTTATCAAGTTGTCAAGAATGAGCCATACCAGCAACGAATAGCATTGTTACACAGGTCGTGCAAAGTGCACGGCCAGGAGAGGCACGAGTTTCAAGTCGGCAGCTCTCCCAAAGCTTCACGGAAAATGCTTGACATCGCTGCGCTTGGATTTGACCAGCATGCGCTCAGACTGCGCGTGGCCGAACATACCAGCAGGGCATTTGCGCGGACGTGATCACCACCTCACAAGCCATTTTGCTTGAACAAGGGTCAAGATGGGATTGCTCGCGAGGACGAGATGGGAATCTACGGGCTAGACACATGGTCGGCAAGGCAGTAGTAAACTCAGTAGTTCAGTAGTACTCATTGCACTTACAGAGGCATTCAGGCGGTCAAACAGCTGACATGGGAGAAAATCCTCAGCTGGACTAGCATCATGGCACCAGGCAAAAGGCCAGGAATCGCAGATGCCCTCTTGGGCTAACATTGCCGCTGCGAAGCCATGCTGAAGTATGCAGTTGCAGGTCCCGACATGCAGCCACTGAGCCGAAGGCAAAGCGTTCCAGGGGAAGCCAGGATCGCATGGATGCTGTTCAGCAGCGCTGCGCGACTGTGGCCCAAGCCATCGGCAAGGCAACTGGTCTTGTCAGTCTTATCCGTCTTATCCCGATTCAATTGCCGTCATTCTTGTTTGGAAGGTCCCTTCCCTCCCGCAGTTGCTGTAGGCTTGAGGGTTGTATCAGAGAAGTCTGGGAACCATAGCAAACTTTGCCTCCTTTTCTCAGCCTTGAGTAACCTGCATTCAGTGTTCTTGTCGTCAGCACTTCAGCTGCAACACTTTGTGAATGTTCTAATGCGACTTGTCTCTCAGTGCTTGCACCTAATCGTTGTGTTTCAGCGAGCGCTTTGCTGGCACGCATTTTCACACTTCCGGGTAGACTCAGACTTCCTCGCCCCACCTCGTTAACCTCAATGATTCCTAGTTTTTGTCTTGCCAAGTTGTTCTTCAAGCAGCATCCTTTCAGAACATGCTGGACATGGGTTGTGAGATTCTTCTCGATTGCACTCAATCCATCCGAGTTCCAGTAGATACCACATGGAAGACCATGGCTGCTCATAAGCTTCGTCGTGGTTAGAACATCCGTGAGTTTGATTAAGTTTGACCATTGAATTCGAAGCGGTTGTTGAGGCTTTACAAGGCTTCCCAAGACCATGCGGTTTCGAATCAAAGGGAAGCAGAATTCGTTGCCTGCCCCACAGCCTTCTTTGTTATAGTTTGCCTACACATCGCTCACGACGTGTTTCAACTTCACTCTTTCTCTCAGCTACGTGAGAATTCCAGAGGCATATCGCGCATCATTAGGTCAGAAATCAACTTGTCGGGCCTCGATTCTTTTTCCATAGTTAAGGAGAAGCATGAAGGATGGGTAGATCTAACGAAGCCTTGGAAGATCTTGGAAGGTTTGGGCACATCGAATCTTGTCAGGCGCAAATGCCTCAGGCTTGCAGAGCAATGCTTGAAGCAGCAGTGCCCTTGGCCCTTGGTGCTTCGCGGCTGCAACAGAGCAGATCGGTTGGGATGTGTCGTTCTAAGCGTCGCACGTCCTGAACTCATGTCATGCATTCTCAACCTTTCTCAGGTTTCACCGGCAGATCGAGACAAGCGCCAGGCGCTTGTGTCTAGCATGTTTGGAATCGCTGCCTCCATCGAGTCACTTGCCAACTAAAAGGGTTCGAGCTGTGTTTGGCTGAAGTCTCGGCGCTCCGGGCGTCCGCCTTCAACGCAGGGCTTTCAGCTTCGCTTGGCCTAGCCTCGCCAGTCAAAACACAGAGCGCAGTCGATACTGCGGTTGAGGCATGTGCATATGTACAACCATGTGTAGATGAGCCGTGCAAGCCAGTGAGCCGTCCAAGCAGCTTGAGAGTTAGGAGTCGGTTGGCCTGTAATTAAATCCATGGCTGCCTGCCTGGGGCCTGCGGATAGCCTGCAAGCAGCTTTACTAAGTCCTACAAGACCAATCTGACTGTCATAAAGCAGTTCATATGCAACGCATTACCTCCCTCCAGCCGGTTTCGTCCGGATTGCTGAGTACAAAGGGAACCAGAATCGAACGCGAGTTTTGGCTTGCACTCCTATGTTCCACTGCACCACCCGCATGCACTGGAAAAGCTGGACCACATGCACTCCATGCACTGAAATTCCGATGCCCCCGATCAAAGCATGTTGCCGTGGGGTCTGACAGGTGCAGGGTTCAGGTGGGGTGTTTCGGACGGAGGTTTTGGAAGGTTTGAAAAGGTTTGAGGGGGAGGTTTGAAGGCGGTTTAGTATCTTAGCATCAGGGGGTGGGTGTGCGGATGAAAGCGGTTTTGGGGGAGTTGAGAGTCAAAGAGAAATGCGTCAAGCGCTCCAAGCACGTAAAACGCAGCTGGGACCACAGAAGCAATGGGAGCATTGACTTGGGATGATCTCTTCGTAGTGGACATAATTGACTCGTTTGCATTAGATGCACAGCCGTGCTCTGAGAGATGCGTGAAACTGCGAGAAGACGGCGTTCTGACACATGTCTGGCACGACAGATATGGCTGCTGCTCAGTATGAAAGGCCCGGAACAAGGGCGAGCGCACATCCCGATCCAGACCCCGATCCAGAGCTCTGGTGGTTCCCACAAGATACAGGGTGAGTATGTGCTAAATACTTTGGTTGGTCTGGAACGGGTATGGAACAGGTATGGAACGGGTATGGAACGGACACCCAGCTCAACATCACTTTTCAGGTATTGCATTCGATGGTTGATCCGGA